GGATAATGAGGAGATGGATAGAGGGATGCAGGGGATACTGGGGGGTCGGATGCAGGGGGGATGGATGGCAGGGGGATGGATGCAGGAGGGACCGATGGGATGGGTTCAGTGGGGATGAATGCAGGGGGGATGGATGCAGGAGGGACTGAGGGGATGGATGCTGGGGAATGGATCACTCACCTGTCGACATTCTGCTGTGGTCCAGGCACAGGAGTACTTAAGGCTGCAAAGGAAGGGCAGGATAAACAACTCAGCACATCAGGGACACACAGGTCACCAAGTGTTTGCAGAGAAAAAGGGTCTCCCTTTTTGGCCATGATGGTGCCCAGCTTCATGTCCCAGCTGGGCGGGGTGGGACCGAAGACACAACCTTCGGCTTGACCCTGAAATAGGGAGCTCAGGATTTCTGCTTCCATAGCCATCACTTACCTGGCTTCCAGCAGTCACCCTCCGCATCCGGCTGCGGCGAGGGCTTCCCCGTGCCGGGTGACGCGCCGTGACGTGTCCGGCTTCCTCCCCTGCCCTGCCCACATCCCTGTGCCCGGGGTGCTGCCCAGCAGCCGGAAACCCCTTTGGGATGCCCGGTGCCACCAGTACACCGAGTGATGGAGGCAGCACCTCCAGCTCCCCACGGGCTGCTTTTAGAGGGGTGCCCTACGACCTAAGGAGCGGGTTGCAGCACCCTATTGCACCCCTAGGACCTGAGGGGGGGCCTGGCCACCCCATGTGCCCACACCCAGCCCCGCAGCATCTGACATGCTTGGCCACGGTGCGTCACCCCAAACCGGCTGGACGGGGTGCAGGGATGGGGCATCCTGGGGCCAGAGGGGCCAGCGGCCGGTGACAGGTCGTGTTACAGCCTCGAAAGGGCAGAGGCTAAGAATGGCCGGGCTGAAACCGGCACCGGGTCACGTCCCCCCTGCTCTGCGGGGACGAAGCGCTGGGGCAGCCCCCGTGGAGTTTGGGGGCGCAGGACCCCTGGGTCCCTAATTGCAGGGGGCGCTGAGCCCCGGGATCGCTGCACCAGCCTTGGCAGGGCGGTGGGGGGCTGTGGTGATCGTGATGGGGGGCTGCGGGCAGCACTGGCCCTTGGTACGGTCTCAGGGCCTGATCCGGCGCGGTGCTGGTCCCACGGGCGCAGGGTGAAGGTGATGTGGAGGTGATTACTCCAGAGGACATCGAGGGGTGCTGAACCCCTCCGCTGGGGGCTGGCGAGGGGGCTGGGCGGGGGGGTTGCAGCGTGGCCTGGGACTCCCCAACCAAGGCCATTTGCGGGCTGCTCCCCGGGGTGCTCCCATCGATCTCCCCCCACCCCCAGCTCCAACCCACCTCCCCCCATCCCATCGGCACCCAGCTCCCCCGGGGACCCCAGACCCAGGGCCGTGCTGCTCCAGCACCGGTGCAGCCCCTCCAGCACCCCTTGCACGCCCCCAGCAAAGCCCCCCCACCCCGCTGAGCTCCGCTCCCCCCCGTGCCCGGCCGGTGTCGCGGTGCCCGCCCGGGACCCCCGGGGGTCTGGCACTGACCTGGACCCGCCGCCGCCCGCGCCGTGCCCGCGGTACCGCTATTTATAGACCTCGGCGGCGCGCGGGGCACGCCGGGAGCGCGCGGCACCGGCAGCGCGAGCGGGCGGGCGGGGGGACACGGGGGGGACACGGCGGGGACACACCGGGGGGGACTAGGGGGATGGCGAGGGGACACGGGGCACACGGCGGTCCCTGCGCCCGCCCGCGCACGGAGAAGGATGGGCGGGGGGATGCGGTTAAACCCTGCGCGGCTGGGAGTGAGGGTCCCCCCACCGCGGGGGGAACCTCCATCCTGCTGGGTCTGGGGTCCTCAGGGCTCCCCGCTCCTCCTCTCCCAGCCTCTAGGAGGGGAGCGCTGTTCTCATCGCTGTCCTGGTGCTCCCTCCCCATCCCGTCCTCATACCCCTATCCCCATCTATGTCCCGATCTCTGCCCCTGATGTCCCCATTCCTGTCCCCATCCCTAATGTCCTCATCCCCGTCCTCATGTCTCCATCCTTGTCCCTAATGTCCTCGTGTACTCATTCCATCCCCATGTCCCCATCCCACCCCCACGTCCCCATCCAAGTCCCTAACCTCCCTATTCCTGTTCCTGAGGTCCGAATCCCATCCCCAATGTCCCTATCTAAGTCCCTAATGTCCTCATGTCCCCATCCCATCCCCACGTCCCCATCCCCAGCTGACACCCCCTCCCTACCCACCCCAGGGGGGTTGCGGTGTTCTTGTTAAGAGCTGATTATTGAGAGATGCCTCTGACTGAATTAAGGTGCAAACAAGACCACATGCTGAAATCAACAGTATAGATTTTATTTGACAATAAAATGTGAGGTAGAGAGACAGAAATAAAAAAAAAAAAAAAAAAAAAAAGTGGGTAGGGGGAGAGAGACATGCAAAGAGAGAAAGAGATCAAGCAGAAATATAGGCACCACCTGGATCCATCAGTGTCCTGCTGGTCCTTCTTCATCCCAGGCTTCTTGATGGCGGGGGTCCTGAGGTCAGTGGGTTTCTGGAGTCGGTGGGTTGTGGTCAGTGGTCGTGATCTCCCCCTGACAGAATTACCTTTTACCCAGCAGGAGCTGATTTCAGCACAGTTACTGAGTTGGTTTTCCTTGTGGACTCTTTGTATCCATCATCAGTGATACACTCTTTTCTCTCTGGGCTTTGTTTACCACCCCCTAGTCTGAGACAAGCCTATCACCTTTATCTTGTCTCAGGTTCCCCTCACGGTGGCATAACTCACAGCCCAAGTTCAAGGCACATTCAGGGCGGTGGGGGGGGCTTTGGGGGTCGCAGATGCCATCTGTGCCATGACCCGAGTGGTCTGCGTTTGACAGGTGATATGCACACGAGCAGTTGCCCCACCCCACAGGTTGCCAGTGGGAATCCTTGCCTGGATACATTACCAAGGATATTCCAGCCAGACCTCGCCAGGCCCGGAGCCAGCGCCATCCTGCCGCTGCATTTTGTGCCCACCTCATGGCAAAGTCCTTCTGTGGCAACAGTGTTTGAGACAAGCAACTGTGATCTCTAAGTCCTTACACTTACCTGCCCTTCCTCCTCTTCCCCTGTGGCTGCAGAGACCCTGACACAAGACCCCACGACCCCAGAGCAGGTGGCTGGGGGTGACTCAAGGTGTGTGTGGGGGTCTCAGCTGCCACCCACACTGGGGGTAGGTCAGAGATGGAGTCAGCCAGGAACTGGACACAGATCCCACCTGGACACACCAGTCCCTTTTCCACACCCTCCTGAGTGCCCAGGGACAGCTCCACTGCGGGCTGGAGGTCTCAAGACCCGCTGTGATGGCACCACTGTCAGCCCCAAAAACCCACCCGGAGCCAGGGCCCAAGGCAACAGACTGCAGCAATATTTATTCCTGTACAAACCATTACAAAACACAGGCACCCCGCAGCTTCCCCCCAGAACAGAGCCCTGCAAAACCCCAGCCACAGCCAGAGGGAAACTGAGGCATGGAGCCCAGCCAAGGTTCAGCACCCAAACACATCATATTTAGCTGTTTTCCCCAAATCTCCTCTCCGCTGCTAAGATATTAATAACAAAATCCAGCCCCAGAGTGCCAAGGAGCACCAATACCCCCCATTACCTACCCACTTCTAATTGTTTATAAGCAGCTACTGCTGGCCCTTCGTTACCATTAATGAGCAGCCCCTGCTTGTTCCTTCGGCCAGGAAACCCAAACACAAACTCTGGGACCAGAAGTGGATAGAAAAAACGCCAAAAACCCCGAAAAGCTCACAAAAATCCCATCATTCAGTTAGAAAAGGTTTTGGCAGTGAGGGGTGCAGCGGTGCTGGGAGGGAATGGGTGTTTTCAGGGTGCTGGGGCAGCAAGGATGGCAGTGCCACCCTCACGGGTTCCCACCAAAAACTGTGGGGTTCTGCTGAGGGAGGGGTGACTGAGGACTGAGACTGGGGGGCTGAGGGGGGCTGAGCTTCAAGAGGGGGTCCTTCCACTCAGAGAGTTGGGGGAAACAGTCTCTGCAGTGACCCCAAAAGTGATGCAACCCCAAACTGAGCAGAGGTGACCCGGCACCCTTTTGCAGGCTCGCAGGGGCTGCAATGTGCCTGGACCAGGGTGGGGCAGGATCTCACCCCCATGTCTCCTGCCCGTGGAGGGGGGACACCCCAAACCCTGCACTCACCACCTGGCTCCCCCAAAAACCAGCTCAAAACCCAAGACATCCCAGGTGCAACGGGGCCACTGTGCATGACGGGGGCGGTCCTGTGGGAGGCACCCTGGCTCCCACCGCTCCCAGGGGGATGCAGGGAAACCCCCATCCATCCCCGCTCCAAAGGTCTGCCCGGCAGGCGAGGGGGCAGCCCCTAGGGCCAATTGGGGTGGGAGAAGGTGATGTTGTAGAGGCCGGCCCAGCTGGCAAAGACCCTCTTCTCGGTGATGAAGCGATGGTGGTTGCCCTTGCGGCTCCGCTCGTTGTGGATGTAGGTTGTGCACTCATCGGGGCCCTTGGGCTCGTAGTAGTGGTAGGGCAGGCGGCGGGGCGGGGGGTGGTGGCTGTGGTGTGCAAGAAGCATTTGTGTGAGCCCCATGGTGGGGCCAGAGGGCCATGGTGGGGGGCTCAGGGGTCTCCTTACCCGCAGTAGCTGGGTGGCACCATGCCATAGACGTGGACGGCGTCGCACAGCTCCACCGCGATCACCATGGTGAACCACCCAGTGCTGAGCCACGAGCGTGACTTCTCCCTGGAGATGGAAAAAACGGGGTTGGGAAGGAGGACAAGGGTGAGGTGGTGTGGATAACAGACACACCAGCATCCCCAACCTGCCCCAGGGACCCCCAGCTTGGTGCTGCAGCAAATGAAGCAGCTCCAAGAGCCAGCTCTCCTTTGGGGACCTGGAGAAAGGGGGACACGGCATGGGAGGTGGCTCCAAGGTACCTGTCCTTCCCTGTCTCCCCCCGAAACAGGTCATCAAACTGCTTCATGCGGCCGGGGGACACGACGTAGGCCGTCATGTTGGGGAAGGAGGCACAGACGCGCTGGATGATCTTCAGGAGGCTCTTCTGCATCTTGATGGGTGGCCCCCAGAAGATGAAGATATTCTCCGGGGTCTTGTTGACGAACTCCTGAGGCCGCTTGAGGACACGGTAGAGGCTGGAGTGGGCCACCACACGGAAGCTGGTCTTGTTGCCCACATCAGCCTCGTAGCCCGTGGTGGGAGCGTCGTTCATGCGGATGGTGCACTCGGCCCCGTCGATGGCTGTGCCTAGGTGGGTGCCCAGGAGGTGGCTGGAGCTGGTGACAATGACGCACTGGTGGCAGCGGGCAGTCAGGGTCTGGCAATGACAAATGCTGTGAGCAGGTGACTTTTGGTGTCACCGTGGGCAGGGCATCACTGTCCCCTGCAGAGCCACAGTCCTGAGGAAGGGGACAGTTTGGCTGGATGTCAGCAGAGGGACAGACCCTGTGCCCGCCACCGAGGCCAGGCCCAGGTCGTACCTTGTTCCCACAGACGGGCAGGTACCCGCTTTTCACTCCCCACTTCTTGAGGTCGGGGGGCCGGCGGGCTCTGCCCCGCAGGCGGCTGTAGGGGAAGACCTCGCTCCCATTGCCAGAGCTGTAGATGATCAGCAACATGATCAGGGCAAAGAGGACCCCCAGGGCGGCGGCTCGTTGGCTCTGCAGGGGGGGGGAGAGCGTCAGCCGCTGCCCCCACCCACCTCATGGGTGTCAGCACCCACCCCGCTCCCATGGCACCTCCAGCAGGACGCCTGGTATCCCCAGGGAGGTCCCTGGGGTGGTTCCCTGGCACTCACCGCGTTGCCACTCATGTCTTTGTGCCAGTCTCAGTGCACGGTGGTCGCCGGTGTCCCGTGAGCAGCTGCAAGGCACGTGGTCAGCCCCAGCATCGGCCCATGGGGATACGATACTGACCTGGTGGGGATACCAGAGGAGACGTATGTGGGATGAGTTCCCAGGTCTCCTCCCTTTGAAGGGGAGGACAAAACCCTGGAATCGATTCAGGGAAGGGAAATGCTGCGGGCAGAGGCCAGGCAGGCTCTGGGGTGCAGAGAAGCCACGGCTTGTGCCGGCAGGATCCCTGTCTTGGGCTGGGCTCCAGGGAGGATTATCCTCTGCTAGTGGGGCTGAAACCGCTCAAACCGCAGGGAGGGTCAACCTGCTGCTCGTGCAGTGAAATCCCATTAAAACAACAGCCGTGGAGGCTTGGATAAGGAGGGCACGGACAGAAGTGAGACCTGCCCAACTCAGTGCATGCACAGGTTTGAATCCAGCAGAGCTGCCCAGGGCTGAGGTGTGTGGGGCGAACCCCAGAGCACCCCAGGGATCCTCTCTAACCTCCACTCGAAACGGACTGACCCAGTTTACTTTTGTGAGCTCTGGGTAGTAAGTCCCAGCCGCTCCTGGAGCGCTTGGAGCCAAGTGGAAATTAAAAAACCCTGAAGCCTCTTTACTAATTGCACTGGAACGAAAATTATGCAACAGCCTGGGATCAACGCCTCGGGGGAGCTGAAACCTCGACAGGCTCTCAGGGCCGGGGCTGGTACCCGGGAAGGTGCCAGCCTGCCCGGGAAGCCCAGGCCATGTGATGCTGGGGGCGATGCTGGGGGAGCCTTCGCCGTGCGGGGGCTGGGGAGGCTGTGGGACCCCCCCCTCCCGGACTGCACTTCTCTCCCTGCATAGCTCTGGGGCCATGGGGGACCCCTCGGAGGGGACTCCATGGCGGGACCCCTCGGCCTTACCTGGTGGGGGCTCTCATGGGGGCTCCGTCACCTCCTGCGCCCCGCGGGCGGCGGGGGCTGCCCGGCCCCTCCGGCGGGCTCGGCCATGGCGGGGCCCGGGGCTCACATCGCCGCTCTGCGGGAAAGGGCTGCTCCAGACCCGACCCTCTTCCCCCACCGGGGGTCCCCCAGCCATGGATGCGAACCCCGGGGGTCCCTCAGCCCCGGATGCGAATCCTCCCCCGTCCCCCGGGAAGGGGAAAACCCGCCCGGCCCGGGGCGCGAACCTCCCGCCGCTCCCACGCCCGAGTCCTCCCCCGCCTCGGGGTGCATTCCCCCCGTCCCCGGCAGCGGCGACACGGCGGGAGCGGGACCCTTCCCACCCCTCCATCCCCCGCGCACCGGTCCCAGGGGCGGGGGCCGCTCCCCCGCCAGACACGGAGAATTCCGCCCCTGCACCGGCTGAACAGGCCCGGAGGGATGCGCGGGGTGCACCGACCGCTCCTCCCGCCCCGCAGTGCGCTGCGATACCGCTGCCGATACCGATATCGCTATCGATACCGATACCGCCGCCGATAACGATATCGCCGGTGCTACCGCCCAGGCCGGGTCCTAGCGCCGCCTTCCCGCGTTGGGGGGAGCCGCCGGGTCCCAGTGCCGCCCTCCCGGGATAGGAAGAGCCACGGGGTCCTAGTGCCGCCCTCCCGGGATAGGAAGAGCCACGGGGTCCTAGTGCCGCCCTCCCCGCTCCGGACCCCGACGGAGAAGGCCGGGGATGCCCCCCTGCCCTGCCCGCCCGGGGTGTGAGGATGGGGCCAAGCGCTGCCCGGCAGCGCCAGGAGTAGCTCGCGGTGCCTGACCCAGCGCATTGCTGGGATGCCGCGGCCTCCCCCGCGCTGGCTGGGCAGAGCAGGACCCCTCTCTGAGGGGTTTCGTGGGGCAGGGAAGGAGCTGCCACAGTGTCCTGCTTGCAGCCCAGCAGAGCTGAGCCCTGTGAGGCCAAGGATCAGCCCAGACCCAGCACCCATCCAGCGGAGATGCAGCTGCTGGTTCCCAAATAACCTCAACTGCTTTCAGCACCCTCCTCCATGCTCAGGCTCAGCTCTACCCCCTCATCACCTCCCCCTTATTTATAGCCTGGCAGTGGAGCTGGGCACCAGCAGCCCAGTGATCAGCTGTCGTCTCCCCTGTCCCCACATTCATCAGCCACGAAGGGGCACAACAGGGGGCACCACTGAATTAAAAACACTTTTAATAGCCACGTTTGCTTTGGTCTGAATCCAAGGGCACTTGTGACAAGGCAATTTGGAGCCCCCAGGGCACATGTGGCTCCAGGGCTTCTCAGATGGGGGATGTAGGGGGCTGCAGGGACCTGCCCAAGCACTGAGCAGCAGAAGGCAGCAGGATGAGGGAGCCTGAATTCAGCTCCCTGCACTGGGTTTCAGGGCACAAGTGGAACAAGGACCACAGTAGAGCTTCACCTCTGGGAGAGGCACCACTTTGTGGCCCTGGCAGGGCTGAGTTCTCCTGCCCCATGTCCTGCTAGAGCCCAGCAGGGTAAATGTTTATTCTGCATTAAATATTCTTCCTAGAAGACTGGGCAGAAAACCTTCGTGGTCATCCTGCGTCCATACAGGCAGACGTCTGGAGCTCCATGGGGCTCCATGGATCCAGCTCACACTCCCCACGCACCAACATGGGGGGTCCCAGCCCACCCACCAGCTGGGGGAACAGGCCCTGCCGCTGCAGAGATGGAGAATCCCTGCTCCAGGGCTTGGCAAAAGGTGTTCAACTGTGGCACTGGCAGAGCCGAGACACGCTGGTGCAGGATGAGAACTGCCCCGCCGCCGGGGTCCCTGCTGCCTCAACTCGTGGCTGGCGCCCTACCCGCCCGCCCAGGACGGGTGAGTGAAGACTATGTTCCTCCTCTTGGCCCAGCGGGAGAAGATGGCCTTCTCGGTGATGAAGCGGTGCCCGGCGCGCCGGGCGCGCTCATGCATCAGGTACATCTTGCACTCATCCAGCCGTCCTTTCTCGAAGTAGTGGTATGGCACACTGGAGTGGTTCTTCTCCCTGGCAGGAGGGCATGGAGTGGGTGTGGGACCTGGGGGGACACCAGACCACCCCCTGCCTGCCCCCACAGCCCCCCACACACCTGCAGTAGCTGTCGCTGACCATGCCGAAGACACGGATCTGCTCACACAGCTCCATGGCCAGGATCATGGTGAACCAGCCCGTGCTCAGGAAGGAGCCAGATTTCATCCTGTGAAGAATGTGTAGAGCGGGTGGCACAGTGCTGCCAGCCTGGCTGGGCTACGGGTGCCTAGTGTGGGGGGAATGGGTGCCACATCAGGGGGACCCGATGGGGGCCCTCAGGAGCCAGCAGTACCTGTTCTTCCCTGTCTCGTTCTGGAAGACGTTGTCACAGTATGTCATCTTCTCCTCAGTCAGGGTGTAGATCTGCAGCTGGGGGTACGTCTGCGTCACCTTCAGCAGCGCCTGGTAGGTCGAGCCCACCTTCTCCCTGTTCAGCTTCTTTGCTGGCCCCCAAATGATGTAGAGGGTCTCCTGGGACTGCTGGAAGAAGTAGGGCTGGTTCCTCAGCAGCAGTGGGACACTGGTGTGCGAGACCACCCGGATGGTGTTCCGCGCCCCCACATCCTCCTCGTAGCCGGCAGTGGGGGCGTGGTTCATGCGCAGGACACACTCCTGCCCGTCGATGGCCTGTCCCAGGTGGGAGCCCAGCATCTGCCCCGAGCTGGACACCACGGCGCAGTGGCGGCACAGCGCTCGCTCCAGCGGCTGTGGGGAGATGCACCGTCAGCTCCCCCTTCCCTTCCGCAGTGGCTGGACACACCACAGCCCCTGTCTGCCCTTCCCTAAAGAAGGGAAACTGAGGCACGGGTGGGTCAAGCTGCCCCAGCGCTGCCCCTATCCCTACGCACCTTCCCGTCGGGAACGCGGCTGTATCCCTGGAAGCTACGGAGGGTGGATGCCGCGGGGCTGCCCTGCTGCCCCGGGGCCCCGCAGCAGGGCTGCGGGCGGGCGAGGGAGGACAGCAGGATGTACAGCACCGCCACCACCGCTGCGCACACCAGTGTGAGGAAGAGCCGGACCTGGAAGCAGAGCGAGGAGGTTTCTCCGGGCCTGGCCACGTGCACCGGCCACACGTCGGATGCCGGTGGCCCCGCGGCCATGCCGGGGGCAGCCCCTCGGAGGATGCGCCGGGCCCGGCTCGCTTCCTGCAGCGGCGATGCCCGCACGCCCCACGGGCTCCGCGCCGCCCGCGGGCACCGCCAGCTGCGGGCTCAGCCCCCACTTCAGCATCGCTTTCGGGGCGAGCGGCCACCCGGATGCTGGGGGGGTCGCACTCCCGTCCCCTCGCCTCCCGTCTCTTCAGGTACTCACCAGCGTCTTCATCCTCGAGGGGCTGGCGGGTCACCGGGCAGGGTCTGGGGGTCCCCCGCAGGGTGGGGGCTCGCACCCTGCATGCGGAGCGAGCTCAGCAGCGGTACTCCCGGGGAGAAGATCCCCGGGGAGATCCACCTCCACCCTGTCCCCCAACGCCCCGGTGTCCCCCCCTTCCTCGCGCCGGGACCCCCCCGGGGCCGGAATCAGGACCCCCCCACCGCACCCCATGCCCCAGATTCCCCCACTCGTCCAGTATCCCTCGGGCCTCCGCGGGTGCCGCCCCGCCGGGCAGGGGGCTGGGCCGGGATGTCCCCCCGCAGCAGCGCCCCCGGTGCCCGGTGCGGGTCCCACTCACCGCGCCGGGAGCCCCCAGGGAGGCCGCCGGCGGCTCCCGCATCCCGGCCGGGCGGGGACCGGAGCTGGTGGGCCGTGGCGGGGCGGAGCCGAGAGGGCACTGCCGGGGCCGGAACCGGCACCGGGACCGCCCCAACCGCCCCGCCCCGCGGCCCGGCTGCTCCCCGGACGCGCCCACTCGTGTACCCCCGTACCGACCCCTGCCTCTCCTTACTGTGTGCCCCGGGACCGGCCCCCCATGTCTCTCCCCCCACTCCTGCTCTGCCCTCTCAGGCTCCACTCCCGCCCGGGGGTTCCTGCAGCCCCCTGTCCCCAGCTCCTCTCAGCTCAGTGCACCGCCAGCTCCCAACCACATCGGACCCTGGAGAGCCCAGGGAGCACAAGGATCCGGAATGGCTCAGGAGCGGGGCCGAGGCCAGTGACCCCTCGGTGCCCCGGGCCCCATCTGATGGCCCTGGGGGCCACCTGTCACCTGCAGCCCCTCTTGCCACGGTCAAAACACACAGTACCTGAGAGATGTGTCCCCAGAGTGAGCTGCAGCCAGCCCGGGATGGGACACTGGGCTTTAATTTCTCCTACTGCTGGTAAAGAAATATGAGATGTAACCTTGAAACCGCTCCGGACTCCGTCCTGCACAGGCCTGGATCGGGAGGAAGAAGGGACACTGACAGGGACATCACGGGGCTTCTGCACAGGAAGCAGTGCCAGGGGGAGGGGACATGTCACTACTGAATTGTTCCCCCTTTTGCCTCCCCCTGCCCCAGCCCAAACCTACCCTTGTGGGGTAGGCTGAGCCCCGGAAAGTGGGTGAGGGGCTGGGAAGGGCAATGAGGGGTTCCTCACCAGGAGGAGCACCAAGGGAGAATGGGGGGATTAGGATTCAGCCTAAGGGAGGCAAGAGCAACAGCCTGGCACAGGCAGGCAGCCTCTGCAAGAGCTGAAAACAAACCTCCAGCCAGAGGTCATTTTATGACCTCTCCTGTGAACCATGCAGTGACTCCTGCAGCCGGGTTCAGCCCAAGATGTGTGGCACGCCAGCCACCAGCATCACACAGTGGAAGGATGGGACACAGGACACGTTGCTCTCTAGAGATTTCTAGTACATGTAAGAAGGGTCAGAGCACCCCAAATCTGCTCCCAGCACAAGGCTGAGTACACCTGGCCTGGCCTGGGCCAGCTTCTCTCTGGTGTTTCCTTGCCTGACCCCACCAGCAGGGCCTTACCAGCAGGGTGTCAGGCACTGCCAGGGCCACGCAGTTGAACCCATCCTGGTTGGCCTGTGACATCCCTTGGCACGGGCAGAGGACAGGGACTGAGACCTTGCAGACCTTTATTGAGGGTGACCCTGCTCGCTGTGATCCAGGGGAGCTGCCAGGGGAGGAAATCCCACAGGGGAAGGATGGTGCCACTACGCCTGCCCACTCATCCCCATCCCCACGTGGAGCCTTGTCCAGGGCAGGAACCCAGCCAGCACTGACAGCTGTGATGGGAACTGCACCCAAACAATTCCCTGTGATCCAGGACGTCTCCTTGCCACCCTCTCAGCCGGGTGACTGCAGGAGGGGATGCACAGGGCAGCACTGTCCCTGCATCCTCTGCACACCCAGCCTCACGGGGGTCCCTCTTCTGAAAGGTAAGAGCCCCCAGCACCATGATTAGCCCTGCCAGCAGCAAATGGAGAAGGCAAACCTGCCCTTCCCAACCCCAAAGTCTCATTTCTTCAAATTTGAATCCAATTCCCCTCAATGAACTGTATGTAAACGTTTAAAAAATCGCAGAAGGAACTAACTACTGGTCAGGGCCAGAGCAGAAGGGAAGGAGTGCCCAGGGGCCACGCAGGGCAGCCCCAGATGGGGAGAAGGTCCCTCAGCAGGGCTCTGGTCCCTCTCTTGATGAGCTCTGGATGAGTCCTGCTTCCCTTTGGTCAGTAAGTTGTAAACTACAGGTGGTTTAGTCTCTGTTGGAAGGAACGTGGGAGCAGCTTGGGCACCCTGGAGGAGGCGTCTGCCCAGAGCTGCAGGAACAGTCTTTTCCTGGCTACGATGCCACAAGCTGGGCACCTTCTCCTCATCTCAGCCGGGCCTTCAGTCCGATTTCTTGGCAGGTTTCCTGCTCTTCCACATCACAATCATTATAAAAACACCTGCCATGAGAGAGAGAGAGAACAGATTCAGCCAGAAAACTTGTAATTCCAGGTGCTTCTGGCAGTGAGAAAGAGAGCCTCAGCTAAGAGAGCAAGAAAATTCCACTGCCCAGAGGTTCAAACAGCCAAAGTCACACGCAGACACACCCCTGAGTCCCTGGGCCAGGCTAAGCTGTGGCAGCAGCCACACAGAGTGTCACGAGTGTCACACATTAGCTAAGCCCCAAGCAACCCTCTTCTCTCTTCCTAATTTAGAAGTTTCTAATTAGAACAGAAATAACTCTCACCTATAAATAGCAGCAGCAGCAGCCCAGCCACCACGGGGATGATAACTGCATATTCCCGGGGCAGGAAGTACTGGTGGATCCCATGGTCGCTGTCGATGAAAGGCTGCAGGGACACAGAGGGGGGTCAGCAGGTGGGCACAACACCAGGGCACGTCCCCAGCACCTGCAGCCTCGAGATTTTGGGAGCAGGATGGAAATATCAGTGACGTGCCTAAAAACAGGGTGCCCTGACCCACACGTGGCTCTGTCAGTGCTGTAGGGGCCACAGTGGGTGGGCAGCAAAGGCTTTGGCGTTCAGTGGACAACGAGAGAAGGCTACCAGGGCTGGCACAGGGGGTCCCACAGCCCTGGGGGCTCAGGGTGGGCACAGCTGCTGGTGCAGGGCAAATCCCCCGGCTCTCTGCCTTGCAGAAGGGAGCGGCTGACAATGGCTCTGCTCCGTGGGGATCCCGCCAGGATCCATCAGTGTAAGGCTCTGGACACTAGAGAGCAGTGTGAGGATTCCTACGTAGAAGAGAGTGCATCTACAGCTCCAGGACTGCCGGGAACACCAGCATGGCTGGGACCACTGGCAGCACTGACACAGACCAGGGCAGCAGATGTAAGAGGGGAATTCAAAACCCTCAGAGTTGGAGGAGAAGCTGCCAGGAGTTCGGACATCAGCCCAGGGCTCTTGCACCTGGAAAGCTCATGAGAAGTTATTTCCAGGATAAAAACACAGCTGATGTGTCGTCTCTCAGAAGTGGGCAGCCTCACGATCACTTTTCCAGAGCTCTGCATTCCCTAAGTTCTCCTCCTCCCTATCAGGCTCCAGATTTGTTAAGGTTCATCTCTTTCATGTTTTCCTCTGTCTTCTCCAACAAGAACCATGAATCTGGGGGATGCAAACATGGACACTGATGATCACACCTCCATCAGGGCCAGACTTCAGCTCTCCCCAGTGAACTGAATGAGCCCCAGATCCCACCCTGGCTGGGCTGGCCTGTCTCAGAGCAGCAGGTGAGCACCACAATTGATATTTGGTCTCGGCCAGGCAAGGCCAGGCATACCCAGAAGGGACAAGGGCTGTGCCAGCATGCAGAGGAAGCTCTGCCCTGAAATTTTTAAGCCAGAAGGCAGGAGTCCTTGGGGTACATGGACACATCAGCACCTGAACAAAGGCTGGGGAAACACCTGAGCGTGGAGTGACTGTGTTATAATGGCCAGAGGAGACCCGTACCAGCACGATGATCCAGAGGGTGTAGTAAACAAACAGAACCAGGCTGAAGGCGACCAAGCCGAACCCAACCAGCTGGTCCGTCGCTGTGGCCTGCGAAGGGAGAGAAAGAGTCAGAGCGGAATCGGGACGGCAGCGCCCGTGCAGAAGCTGCCGATGGCACCTGACTTTTGTTATGTCACCGCGGGGAGGGGACAACCAGGGGATGGGACATCCAGGGGATGGGACATCCAGGGGATGGGACACCGCGGGGCCGGGGCCGCTGCGGCGGGACAACCCAGCGAGGGCTGCAGGGGCCGCCCGGTCTCTGTAACTGGGAGTCCCCCGAGCCAGCTCACACCCCGCCTCCCCGTCCCGGGCCACCCAAGCACCGACCCCGCCGACCTCGGGAGGCGGCCGGGCCCGGGTTCTCCGCGGGGGCGGAAGTCACAGGGACGCCGCGCGGGCTCCCGGCCGCGATTTCAGCTCAAGTCCCCCGTAGTGCCGGGCCGAGCAGGGAGGGTGCGGGCGCGGGGGGAGCCCCGGGAGCGGGTGGGGAAGCCCCGCGGGGTCGGTCCCCCCTCACGCCCCGCGGCCCTGCCCGCACTCACCATGGCGCCCCGGCCGCTCCCCGCCAGCACCGCCCCTTCCGGAGCTCCCGCCAATCAGCGCGCGGTCCGACAGCTCCGCCCGCCCCGCGCCCGGCGGTGACCAATCAGCGGGGGCGGTTAGGGGGAGCGCGGCGCTGGGCGGGGCGTGCGAGAGGCCCCGCCCCCTCCTCCATCACTTCTGAAATCCGGGGAACTCCCCCAAATCCAGGGAATTCAGGGATTACTCGCGTTCGGCGCCGCCCCGAGCCTGGCAGGGGGTTTAACGCCTGACGGGGCAACAGCGCTCCCGCTGTCCCTGTCCCTCCTGTGGGGGGGGACTCAGATCCCTTCCACAGCTCCCGGTGTCAGGGGATGGGTCTCCTTCGGGAACAGGGTGCATCCCGCGGGACACGGACAGCCTGCGGCCCGGCCGTTCCTCCAAACACACTCGCAGGGAGAAGGGAGACCCAGCAGCGAGGGACACAAGGGATCGCATGGCTGCCTCCCCTACCCGAAACAAGGGAAAGGGGGACAGAGGGGCGGCTCTGGCACAAGCCAAGAGAACCCAGAGAACTCCACTCCCTGGAGCCTGCGGGGCTGTGGTTCCTTCCCCGAGGCCAGCCTGGGGAGCAGGGGGGATCAAACAGAACCTGGCTGGGATACAGGATTCAGGAACAAGGGACACTTGCTGGCCACTCAGCCAGGTCACCTTTCCCTGGGAGTGCTGCTTCCACGGGACTGGTGATGTGCTGCCAGCTCCCCTCTCCATCTGCAGAGAAGGGCTGGCAGGGATCTCTGCTCCCAGCCGCCAAAGCAATCCTAGAAGGAAAAGCCAAATCCTATTCCAAGCCCCAGCATGCCCTTCTCAACCTCCTGCTTCCTCAGCAGACATTTAAATGCATTTCAAAAACAAGAAACAGAGCAAGGAGAATCCATGTGAAGTACCAAAAACCTTTATTTTTTTCCCCCCAAACCATAACAACATTTGACATTATATTGATTTCCTCATATATTTGTTATTTCTCTACGTTAGGAACCAGATACAGAAAATACAAACACGATCTGTTGAATCAAAGACGGCACAGCATTCCGTTAGAAAAAAAGAAACAAAAAAACTAGAGGAGCAAGATAAAAATGGTGAAAAATAGTCATTCCCTCCAGCCCAAACTTTCCAAGAATCATCATCAAAATAGAGCAGTGGAAGTAGCTTCTCTTTCTAAACGCACTTCTGCTTTAAGAAAAAAGTTAGATTCATCTTTAGATCTCAAAGTAAAAAAAATGTTAAACTATCTTTTCAAGCAATTTTGGAAGTTTGCATAGACCCATTCCCTTTCCAAAAATATCAGCCATCTCTCTTATAGAATCTGATACAAATCGAGTGCGCGCCTCAGCCAAAGGTCACCAAGCTCAATTCACTTTCAAGAAAATAAAACACCATCTCCCCTTTCTTTCCCCCTCCCTCCCTCCCCCCACAAAAATACGGGCTCTGCCGTCACTCCTTGTGTTTGAGAGGCAGGTCCCGAGGCTCAGCCGCACCCCTCGCTCGGAGCTTCACCCAAATTCCTTTTCATTTCCCAGGTTTCCACGTCCCCCAGCGGGGCGGGGGCGACCGTGGAGGGCATTGGGCTTGGATGGCACGGGATGGGGGGGACTGATGGGCACAGCTCTCAGGAGGGGAGTGTGTGGGGGGAAATTCTGCACTTATCACCCCCCACACACAGCGAGGAAGTGGCTTTTTAAAGGACAAACAGCTGCAACCAGGCAGTGTTTGTAGGAACTTGTCCCTGGGGACCGGCCTTGTCCACAGGGCTCAGTCACCGGGGCAAGAACTCAGCTAGAGACCAGGTGGGGCAGCAGGGCCGGGGCAGGAGGGGCAGAGGGGGGTCTGCAGCCCCCGGGTAAGGCAGCGAGGAGGGAAAGGGGCCCCTCGCCAGGAGGGGGTTTATCCGAGGTGCTCTAGCGTACCTGGAGTGAGGTTTTCCCAGAGGATCCCGGCGGCGGTGCAGAGCCCAGCTGCGCTACCGCGGGTTTAAAAAGAAAACAGCAACGACAAAATAAATTAAAAAAAAAAAAAAGAAAAAAAAAAGTCAACCCCTCCTATTCAGATGAGAATGAAATACCTATTTCTTCAGGTCTCGGCCTGGTTCGGAACCCTCTAAAAACTGAAGCAAACGTTTAAAAGGGCTTGTTAACTTTCTGCAGGGGGCAAAGTGATGTGGCAATGGGGGAGAGGGGGAGAAATCACACGCCTGCTGCCCATCGCTCCAAGGGTCAGGACATCACGAGGCCCCCACTCAAGGTGCTGACCATACAGAAGATGATGGAGGAGCAACATCCTTCTCCCCCTTTTTCCAATCACAATTTCCAATTGAAACCCATCTCCTTCACCAAGTCATGGCTAAGCCTATTCTTTTGGACATTCACTCAGTTTTACACTGGTTTTAAAAAAAGAAAAGTTAGTAAAAAAGTTACACTAATTTCCTAACGCTTTGCAATGGGCTTCCACCAACTAAAGGTCCAGAAACTGGGAAAGCAGAGCCCACACATTTTGCCTGGCCCCTCCAGACTGGAGCAGAGAGCCAGCTCTGCCCTCCAGAGCCAGCCAGGCATGAGCAGCCCCGCTCATCAGCATCAGAGACCCAGGGGATGCAGAGTCTCTCCAATAAGGTCCTTTTACTTGTTTAAGCCACCTCTGAATCCCCTGAGAAGGGGAACAATGTGGAGAAGAACATCCCCCCCCCCCTCAGCCCCCCTGAAATAAAATATCAATGAAACAATAATGCAGTCAAAAAAACACCAGCCTGCTGGGTTTACATAAAAAAAAAAAAATTCCATAAACTTCACAACAAAAAAAGAAAAAGAGAAAAACCCAAAGGAAACTAGCCAGCGGTTTGGGTCTGGAAACTGATTCACTTCTTAAATGTTCAAAGTCCAACAAGGAACAGGCGGCAGCGATGCCACAAGGAAAAAAAGTGCTCATGAGACGCAGCTTCCCGAGGCAGCGGAGAGTGTGTGGGACCAGTGACCCCATGGCCACCACCACCTCAGATGCCCATGGCCAGCCAGGAACCAGCAGGCATTGCTCATGCAGCAGGAGCTCTGCGTGGGATCTAGAAATAGGAACAGACTGCTCTTCCTCCCTCGGGGTGTGCTCTGGGTGCTCCAGCCCTCTGCCAGGCTGGATGACCAGGACTGCTTTCTCATCCAGAATGACGGGTAGGAGAGCTAAAAAGCCACATAAAGACCAGGATCTGTGGAATCAACAATAACAGGGAGACAAGGAAGAGATACCCTATGAGACACAGCCATCAAAAACACAAGCAGTGATGTGCCAAGCCACGGGGAAGAGAAGCCAAAGACGTGCTGCCCCAGGTGGGCCACAGCGATGTGATGGTTACGCCTCTGCCAGCCTGGGGAGATGATACCAGCTTTCCAAAAAGCTCAACTGCTTCTCCTCTTGCTTTGCTGGGAAGAGATTCCTCCCTCTGCCTCGCTGGGGATTTCGTGACATGCCAAGCTGCCAGTGTCTCAGAGCAGCCGACTCCTGCCAGTGGAGGCCAGAAGAATGCCCTGGGATCCCAACTGCTCTGACAGTGACTGCCATTGTTTTTCATGGGAACAGAAGCAATGCAGCCGAAGTGAACTGGGTTTTGGCCTCTTTCCTGGATTATGTTTGCTCTTTTCAAGTCCCAGTTGGATCTGATTTCCCCGAGGGGCTTCGCTGGCCCCTGAGGAGTAGCAGGGGCTCTGTGCTGACCCTCAGCTCTGCACAGCCAGCCACAGACAGGGCAGGAACACCCGCTGCTGTCTGAGCCTCCTTCTGCCCTCACCCTGACCTGAGCAGAGGGTCAGGCCAGGCCTGGTTTTCTGGCAGAGCCCCAGGGAGAGAGAAAAGCAAGCAGTTCTCTCCTTCCTGCAGACACGCAGCACCCCAGGAACAGGGCAGGATGCTCAGCAGCCTGCTGGCAAGTGCTAAACCTACCCAGGCTGAATGAAGAAGGGATCACCACTAAAAAACACCAGCAAGTCTGAAAGAGCTTTTGTTCTAAACAGACTCAAGATTCAACAAGTTTTCCCTACATTAAAGCAAACCAAGGTGTTGGCTGTACCCTCTTCTTACCCTAATTCAAATTTACTTCCCCTTGAAGGGAAAGGGTGAAAAAGATGCATATCCTATATGTGGTCTGTCCAAATACAGAAAGAAACCTCTTAACTCAAAGAGAGAAACTATCAAAACAGAGTAAGCAGCTGTACAGCTTTGCCACACTGCTGAGCACCCATGCACTCCCCATGCAGCATCCTTAACTAGAAGGGTGAAAAAAAATGATACATCAAGGCTCTTTCATTCCTTGTTTCTCATTCTGCCAAATTCCCTTTTCCTGTAGCTCATCTGCATGCATTCTGGCCACAGAGACCACAATTAATCCTTTTTTTTTTTTCTCCTTAAAAAAAAAAAAAAAAAAAAGGCTTTAAAATAATTAAGAATTTGAAGGACAACGTGATCAGTTACGAGCCTTTCCTTGCTGAGCAGGATGAGTGTGTGTCTGTACATGTGCACACACACACACACACACACACACGTGTGCCAGAGGAGGGCACATCCCAGCCAAGCCCACGCGTGTGGAATTGCTCCGAGGGCACGGCTGTCGAGTGCTACCACAGTGCACTGGCAAAAGAGGAATGGGCACCACACAGAAATAGCTTATCAGCTGAGAGGCTCTGCACAGGAAGGGCTGCAAGCACAGCCCGCTGTCGGCCCACAGCGGGGGCTGCACGGATCCTCGCTGGCAATTCGGCTGCCAGGAGGATCTCCGAGGGGGAGCTGAAAGGGAGAGACATCTCAGCCGCACACTGCAAGGAAAAGAGGCAGCTAAAGCGTTGAACAACTGCAGAAACCAAACCCAAAGAAGAGCAATTGAAAGATCAACCAGAGAACAGTTTGAAGCCTTGTCAGAAGAGTTCACTCGCCACGGAGCAGGTAAGAACAGCTGCTGTGGCTAATGCAGCAGCAAACACCCATTCTACCCTTGAAGGCAGAGACAGTGGCTTCTCACCAGCCCCAGAAGGAACCAGCTCAGACACAGATCTCTGCTGACAGGGCAAGAAAGGCCAACCAACACCGAATCCCTTACTGGCCCGGGCCAAGAGAGGCAATCGACATCACCACCACAACAGAGAGACCACTGCAGTCAACTGCACCCTGCTCTGGCCCAGGGGAGGGCTGTCAGAGAACCGTATTCTTTTCACAGTCCAAGAAGGGCAGTTCCCTTCCTGAGCCAAAGAAAAAAAAAAAAAAACAACCCAAAAAGAGAGGCTTTGTATTCCAAGCTCCAACAGTACTATTTGCTGAATCAGTCCAGCAAACGTGGATTATGCTCCTGGAATAATGAGTAGAAGCCTCCTCCAGGTAAAATCTGTAACCTCTAAAGTGCTCCTGCTAATGCTAGTTGATGACCATTCCCTTCCATGCCCAGCAGTGGAAGGGCTACTGCAGTCAGTGGTGTGACGAGCACTCGCATTTAACCGTTCATCAACTCCCAGCTGGATTGCGGAATTTTTCTGAAATGCACTTTTGGGAAGTATTTCCTATGAGAAGATGATGTTTGGGGGTGTGAGGGTAGGAAGATGAGGTGTACACCACAGCATACCTTGTTCAGTAAAACGTTTGCCTTGGGAGGTGATGTTCCCTTGCAGAGTCAATGGAATAAAGCATCCTGCAAGTGGCCATGTCACCATGTCCCCAACAAGCAGCTCTGGGTTTGGTTAGAATGGCTTCCCCCTCCCCCAAGTGGTTTGAAGAGTTCACAGTGGTATAACCCAACGTTCTGGGGAGACAGAAGCTGAGAAGTCCCCCGCTGCAAGTGAATGGGTGGAGTGAGGGATGGACACGAGCAACATCCTCCGGGACTAGCCCAAGGATAAGCCCCACAGACACCTTGCATCTCAGCAGGAACAGGGGGAAGGCAGGCACTGGAAGGACCAGGAAGCAGAGAAGGATAATGCCAATGCAGGGAAAGTGCATGTTCTGGAGTGGTCTTGGAGTAGTTCTGCAGTGCAAACGTATGGGGAGGGGCATGGAGAAATCCCTTCTGGAATTCTGCATGAAGAGAGGTAAAGGTTGGCATCCATGTGGCAGCGGACTGGGTAGGGGGCCTGTGTCCAGCAGCTCTACCCTGTTCTTCACATTTAGTGGGTTTCAATCACCACTGGCTCGTAAACTCCAGACGAGACCCTGGGGAGGCAGAGGGGGAGAAGTGGAGGGAGGCAGGTTATTTTCCGCAGTCACTCTGAGCAAGCAAGTTCTGATTCAGAGCTCTCTGCTCACAAACACCGTCCTCTAACCCCACACAAAACCCTGCAAATCACGAGTCAGCCTGGCTGGAAGTCAGCCCTCGTAACACAGAGCAGACAGAGACGTGGCAAGCCAAGACCAGAGAGCTGGAGAGAGCTGAGTGTAACACATGAACCCTTCCAAAGGACAGAGGAAAGGGGGGGAGTATCCCATCCTGCACAAAGAGCCTGCATTCCTGGCTTTGCTGTGCTCTCAGTTCTGCCACCAACTCGACACATCTTTGTATTAACGTTATTGCTTTTTATTTGTTCAACTCAAAAGGTGCAATAAAGGCTCAAAAGGCAACTGGCCGAGGCATTGTACTAAGAGCTATTGTGGCAAGAAAAAGTTTTATTGCTTCAGGAGTCTTTCATGAGAGGACAAGCCCTCCACGATTATGGAGGAGGCAGGGAAAAGGGACAATAAGAGGCAGGGACAAGGGACACAAAGCCAGGCTGCTGCCGCAGTTTTGCTGCAGGCCAGCAGGAGGCAAAGCTCCCTCCTTCAGGAGCGAACGGGAACCAGCCTCTACCATTTTGTCCTTTCACTCCCTACTTCTGTTCCTGGGTCTAACAATTAGAATCCCATTATCCCTGTGAGCTCCTGCTGAGAACTACATTCATACTCCAGCCCAGCTGTAGCCTGCCTCCATAGGGATCTCAGGGGTGTTAATGTGGGGATAAAGCCACCATGTAATGTGTGGTATTTAGAAATCTCTCCTGCAGCAAAAGGTGGAAGTCTCCTGGGTACAGAGAGCTCACCAATTCCCCCGAAGACCCTCTGTCTGCCAGGCTTTTGGGAAGCTTACCTGTTTCCCAGCTGAATTCCACTCAGCGTAGTTGTTCCATCTCTGCTCACAAACAACCTCAGGTTACTGTCTGCAGAGAGAAAAGCAACATAGACATTAAAATCCAGAGGTACCAACCCTGCCAGGTGCTCCCCTCGCAGACACACTGCACAGTGGTCAGCACAGAGCAAGTGTGATTCTGTGGATACATGTTCACAACTTTCTGGTGGTATTCCCACAGCAATGGAGCCCCTGGGAACTCCTCTGGGAGCCCCGTAACATGAAGCTTTGGAAGAGTAAAGGCAGGGAAATTAATTCAGTGATACTCCTCCAGCTGTTTCTTTTAAGGCAATTCCATTGATGCAAGTTCTCGGTCAGCTTAAGTACATCTGAACAGATGAGATGTGGGGCTTCATGCTGCTTTTGTAGGCTCCCTGGAGAAGAAACTCAGCCTGTTCTGCTGGCAAGAGGCAGCTGCATTCAGTCTAGTTTTAACTCACGCTGAGTGAGGTGTAAATCCCTATATGATAAGAGTGTTACCATGTGCAACGATTTAACGTGACTAATGGTAAACTGAAGAAGCATAAACAACGAGCTAGGCTCAAGTTTAAAACTTAACAAAAAAACTCAGATTAAAAAAAAACAGATGAAAAAGATTGATTTCTATGCTAAACTGAAAAATGAAAACAAATGCAGTTATTTTACTAGTTTTTTCTTAACAGATGCTATGACTACAAAGGACAAAACCCCTTCCTAAGTTCTCAGCCAGACCTGGTCCCAGCACACTATAACCCATAGTTATTCCCATCCTTCTGCAGAGATGTGCTGTTTCCCTTCCAGTTGTGCTCTCCTAGTTTAATAAATACCCTTGGGCTGACCCTGGACAGAGGCCACCAGAGCAGTGCAGACAGCTGATGTAACTGATTTCCACTACACTGAGAATCAGTACTTTTCCTCTCTCCCCCTGCATGTTTGAGCTCCTGTTCAACCTCTGCTGTCACGTGTGGAATAGCAGCAAGTGCTATTTGTGAATGGATGTGCAGCTCTCAAACCCACATGGTTTATCTACCAGAGAACCACCCAGCAAGCACTGAAAGCAAATAGCTGTCAAGAGGGGAAGGGAGCCCACGGCAGATCAGAGCTGACTGTAAACCCTTGTCAGCCTTGCCAGAGGAACAGCCCAGACATCCTCTCTGAGACTCCCCCCTCACCTTCAGTATTGCTGACATCTGTGAAGTCCTGGCTCTGCATTATTTTCTCCACTATATCATCAGCATCGATCCTGGTGTCATCCACTCGGGTAGGGTGACTCTCCACTGAATCCTTTTTCCTTCTGAGGGGAGAGGAAACACAGGGAGAACTTACTCAGCTTTTCAAGACACAGATTTTCACATGCAGTCCCACTTCTCTTGGCACTGATCTCCTCCTCAGCGGCTACAATCCGATCTACCGCTGCACAAAAATCAAGGAGTAGGTTCTGTCTCTCCCTCCCAGAGAAGGGTCTCTGCTCCGCAGTTACTCACCGGGAGGGTCTGTCCAGCAGAAGGGCCGGTCTGGGGGGGCGAGGTGGCTTCTCTAGTTTGTGGTCCCGCTCTCCCTCAGGACACTCCACTGTCATGCTGAGCCCTCCGGACGCGCTGCTGCTGGTGGACGTGTTCCGGCGGTGGGTCAGGTCGGACATGCTGGAGGAGCGGGAGTGCTCCGTGCTGTAACCTGCAGACACAGGGTGATCACAATCCACACCTCCCCCCCACTTCCTGGCAGCACAGCTAACGGGCAGGGCAGCTTCACACCAGCGTTTCTGCTCCTGCACACAGAGGTTTAGACATAAATCTGCGAGCTCGCCTGCAGAGACTGAGCAGGAGGCTGGTATTACAGAGCAGGTGAGAGATGGCTGCAAGGCACTCTCACAGGGATTCATTGCAGGGAAGAAAATGCATGTGGCCAGTGCTGGCAGAGCTGTGTGGATCAATGGTTACCAGAGATCTTGGACTGCTGGCTGGCGTAGCTGGAGTTCCGCGAGTGCCCTGAGTGGAAAACTTCCTCTGGGCTGGACAGGTTCTGATCCGGTTCTTCTGGGACACCTGCCAAGGAACAACAGGACACTCTGCTTACACCATAACCAAGCCAGAGCACTGTGCCCCGATCAGCTTGGAGTGGAGCCTGATCTTGGGATGCCAGATCAAGGAAAGGACAAGTCTGCTGGCAGAGCCCTGCTGTCCAGGCCACACAGAGCTTAGGAACACCTGGGGAGTAGTGAAGACCACAACGAGCTTCTCTGTCAAGTTTATCACTAACCCTAGCATCCAGCACCTGAATTTACAGACATCTCTGAGGGCTTGTAGCACCTAGAAGGATGAGTAGTATCTGAAGCTATCCCTTGATAAAAACATTAAGATCAAGAAAGCATCAGATGGCCACTGGCAGTGAAGTGTTACAACCTCTGTTTGGGTGCTTCTGTTACTTCATTTCCCCCTCTATTACTTGTGAGAGAGCCTACACCATTTAAATCTCTGAATTTGATACAGAAACCTCAGTGTAACCTCTGCTCCTCTGCTATGACCCTTGCTTGTCTCCTGCAGGAAGCTTATCCAGAAGCCCACAGATGTAACACATTAGCCAGCTTTTTAAGAACAACACTTGCACCTTGTGCTCAGTCGCTGAGGTGATGAGACTCGAGTGCTATTTTGGTGCAGTGTATGTGCCTGCACATTTGGAATGCGCTGGGAAGGAAAAAAAAAAAAAAAAGGCAATGTGAAAATGCAGCGTCCTTGAAAACGGGCTCATGCAGAAGCCAAAGAACTGCATCAGCAGCTGGAACAAGGCCATTAGACCTCAAACCAACCTCTAAAACCTTCAGAGGAACTTTTCTAGAAGATAAGTCTGAGCAACAGAACAGCTGACTGGGGAACAATGTTGAGTGTCATTGAATACAGTGGAAAGCAGGGATGAGTGCAATGCATGAATTATTAAATACCCAGCAGTAACAAATTGCTTTATCTCCTCTAACAGGAATATGCACGTGGCAGAGGCTCATCCTTCCTCTCCTCAGTTACACTTAGATGGTTTTGTTTTTCTCTATTTTTCTTAATGAGCAGTGGGGTTGAGGATGGGAAAACATAAAAAATTAAAGATTTTCTGTGCTTGCAACTGCTGGGAAAAAACAAAGGAGTGTCCAGACAGAGCCAAATGTTGCATGGCTCCAGGATGGGCATTCATACCCGAGCTGAGAATGGCAGTTCTTGGCTTGGTCTGGCGCACAGAGCCGATTGTGGAGGAACTGCTGCTGCTTGTGGTTCCCTCTCCCTTGCAGGTCAGCTGCAGGGTAGAGTCCTGCCCTGGTATGGTGATGGATTTGGCAGTGGAAGGAGGCCTGTAATCAGAAGAAAAAGCAAGTTTCCGAGGTAAATTAAGGCAAAGAGGAACCATTCAATCATTTATGCAGGACAACAGGCTCAGAGCTTGCACTATGCTCCAGAACACCAACCAGAGCTGCCCTTTCCCCCCCCCAGCACGTGTCCAGTTGGCTTCACAAACAGGAACCAGTTGGCTGTTGTATCACTCTCAATTCCAGCTCCCCTTTCTGTTACACCTTTCTGACCCAGGGGCCAAAACGAAACCTTTTATCCCAGCAACCCCACCCCACTATGAGAGCACTTTTACAACGATCAAATAACCTTTTCCTTTTATAACTGACGATTAAACTACTTTTCAGTGAGACTAAAGTGTTTTTCCAGCTGTCAAAATTATTTTTCTGGTTATTCTGTGTGCTCCCAACATCCCTTTGTAAATGCTGGCTGCAGGGCAGAGCTGTGAGTGCCTGGAGCCCCCTCCCTTCCTCCAGAAGTGTTTTTGGGTGGAAGCCACAGCATGTGCAGCGTGGCAAAGTGAATATTCCTGTTGGAGCCATAACCTCCCTGTAGCCTGAAGTCTGAACTGGAATTAATGGATCATATTATGGCTTTTAAGTGAGGAGAGAGAAATAAAAACTTTTCTTTGTCTCACTTGAAGCTCTGAAGAAAGATGCTACCTTTGCTGTATTTTGGGAGAGAAAATAAAGCACTGAGAATATTTTGTGTGGGCAGGCAAATGGCTGTGAAGGTTCCAGGAAACCCCTAGCATGCCTTCACCAGGAAAAAACCTCCCTAATCACGTTATCAGTGATTTACATGCACACAGGTGCTGTGGGGACTTTGCTTCACAGGTTTGTAAGGCTTTTACAGCCTTAAGTAAGCAAAGCTTACTCCTGCTCAGCCTGCTCTACCCCCCTTGGTGACCCCCAGGAGGAGAAGGTTCAACCAAGCCCTGCAGAAAGTCAGTGCTTGGAAGTGATTTCCCAGCACAGTTTAATTCCTGCCTATCCCCCTAATGAGTGCCATTTACCAGAAGCTCTACTGATCAAGGACTATTCCACATGCAAAGCTTCTATTTTTAGGCATTTGCACATCATCAACATATAAGGAAAAGTGGGAATGACTGCAAAAAATCCTTTAAGAAAATTAGGAGGTTTGACTTTCAGACAACCTACTTATATTAAATGGATATTTATATCCAATTCTGTATAATTTTCAGGCACTCTAACAGTAGGACTTGCTTCCATAGCAAAGGAACAACAGGTATTTTTGTCAGACATATTATTTTCAGACATCCTAGTACCCCAGATTTAAAACATCTGTTACTGCTACAAAATTATGGTTTAAGGTATCCAAAACTTCTTTGTTACACTTCCTTCTGAAGCAGAAATTCTTTGGATTCAGATGACATTGATTTTGGGCTTGAACGTCTCAGGAAACACTGCAGCACCACGAAAAGCCATTCACAAAACAAACCTCCCAAAAATTATGCAGCATTTTATAACACAAATGCAAGCTAATTTATAAACACTTCAAGCTAGCTCCTAAAATTAGACTTTTTAGCCCAGGAGACCACTGCTGCAAGAGATGGCCTGAAGGTAAAGCTTTCTTCTCTCGCACTGCTGGGAGTCAACACCAAGTATTTCTGTGGGCACGTGGCAGCCCTGCTGTGTGCAGTCACACACCTTCCAGCACCCCACAGCAGGGCTGGGACTGCAGAGCCCTGTGACACCACACTGCAGTGTAAGAGGAGATGCTGCCAGGATATTTGTTAGTTGATTCACCAACAATTCTTTAAGCAGCAAAACTGCTTCGCGGCTTAACTGTATTTATTCTTTCCTATCTTAATGCATTAAAAAAAGAAAAAAAATCACACATGACTGCAATTTCTCTGCTAACGCAAATTGTGAACGCGCTAGAAAAAAAAAAATTAAAATGTTTTAGCCTTGCAGTATTTTTGTTGCTGTTTCAATCTGAGATCTTTATCCCGCACGATATGTGCTGAAGCATGTCCATTTCCAAGACTGTTTTCTTCAGTGACCTTTCTCCTCTTGGAGGTCAGTGAAACCAAACCCAGAGCCATGAGAAATTCTACCCTTCAGCAAAACATGGAGTTTGTCAGCAGCATCTACTGGTTTCCAAAACCTAAACTCACGCTTGCAGGGAAGATACTTTGCACAGCAATAATCAAACTGGGAAAGCCAGAGCAGAGAACAAAACCGATCAACAGCACAGGCTGGATACACTTTTCTGGCTGATTCAAACAGTTTTAAGCTTTTCCCTGTACTTCCCAATATCAAGGGCATTATTTTTCCTCCCCTATATCAGTTTTAGTCTCCAGCAGAGAACTGCAAAAGGAACGGGTGTCCCAGTCTGCTCAGAAACTCACGTTTTAAAGCAGGGATCCCCCGAGAGCAGGGACATTCCGATGGTGACCTGGAGAGGGGACACAAGGAACGTTGTTAGCAGTGTTCCTCACTTCACAACAGCCACGGGGTCAAGGGCTGGGTGTAAAGATTAGCAAGATCCAGCTCCTTTCCAAAGGAAATCAGCTTCAGGGATTTGGCAAGGTATTTCCCTCCCTGCCCCAAATCCCTGGCATCAGGCACTTCAAGCGGCTCAGCAGGACACCAGTCTGGCCACCCTGACAATGCATTCAGAACCTCCTCCCTCCCTCCTGTTCCTGGTTTCTTTGATGACAGAGAACACTCTTAAAGGTCATCGCTTGGCCAAATCGATGCCAAATTATCAAAGGGCAACTCTGATAATGGGAAGCTTCCCAAGTCAGTCCAGCAGCACAAAAGCAAAATCCTGTCCCTGCACACTCACAGGGCCTTCTCTCGGGTCTGGCACTGCACTCTGGTTGTGATCTTCCCCAAATTCAGTCACAGCACTTCAGCTGTGGCAGCAGCAGCTGCTGTACCTTTAGGATGGAGTTGTCCTGTCGGGTGTTCTTGGTATCATATCCTTCCAGCAAGCAGCAACGGACAGTGGATCCAGAGCCCGCAAATTCTGCCAGATTTAGATCAGCAAAGCCCAGCTGCAGCCACGGAAACAATGGAGGGGAATGGGAGAGAACAAAGGTTACTCCATAAAGGGATACATGGTGTCATACAGACCAAAAAAAGAGAGAGCATCTGTGAGTAAGGGCAGAAACGGGACTGGTGGCTGTGAAGATCCTCTGTTCCTGAGGATGGGCAGGGTCACATTCCTAATCCCAAGTCAGACAGACATTGGGAGGCCTTCAGGAAGCCAAACCTCCATGGAGGAAGGGCAGACAGCGGTGGTGCTGGCCAGGACAGTGTTAACCAGCCCACGGCCGTTGCATAACCAAGGACATGGAAGGCACTAGGTCAACGATGTGGAAAAAACAGAATCACACATACACAAACATAATAAGGCACTCTTTGTATTGGGCCATCCCAGAATGCAGTGGAGCATGTGAACCAGGAGATGAAAGGATATTGTTACAGAGGAAAGTGACACCATCCTGAAAAAAAAAAACAACTGAGATTTCGGCACAGGGAGCTGGAAGCCCAGAGCCATGGAACAGTGCATGTGCCTCACCCCTCAGAGGCAGTTGCTGGGCTGAGGAACTCCTGGAGCAAAGCCTCAATGCTGCTAAGGCTTAACCAGCAAGGGGGATGTTTGACAGGCAGAAGGGAAGAGAAATATTTGAAGAGATTTACTTGTGAGCTCTCTAAACCTCCTCTAACAAAGGGGAAGCAAATAGGGAAGGTGACAGAAAGCTGAAGACCACAGGTAAATTCAAAGAGGACACTGATGCCTCCAGAGCAAACACAAACACAGTGAAGAGTACCTTTGTTTTCCTGCCCTAGTAACACAGTGTTTCAAAGAAAAAGTTATAGCTTCTTTTATGCAGAGCTTTAGCAATAGTCAGCTGTGCCTCATCTAATCTGACCAGGAAGAGATGCTGCACCCCACGTTTGGCCAAACCACCCAGGCACGGAGAGTTTGCGTCACTTCAGCATCCAGGTCAGCTCCCAGGAGAACACAGAGCACAGGTGGAGCAGCAGCAGGTCATTCCATGCACTGCAGAACATTCCTCCTGCCCTGGTGTTGACACAACTGGACGGGGAGCCCCAACAGTAGCACCATCCTACGGAAATGTGGTGCTCTGTCAACTGTGGAAGCTGATAGGGAGTCAGAGCACAAACCACAGCTGCTGCCACAGGAACCCTGGCTCCCACTGCTCCAAATCAGAAGTCTAAACCACAGTCTGCTCAAGATACATGATTCAGGGGGGAAACAGCACCAACACTGGCATAGCTGCTTCCTCCATCCCATTCTCAAAGGGGAACTCCTGATGGCAAATGAAAAAAAGATGTGGGATAGAGAGGGAAGCTTTCATTAACAAAAAAAAAAAGAAGGTAAAACATAACCCAACTTTTCTCCCTCTCTTCTCCCTTCTTAACAATTCCCTTAATGCAGGTGTTTCTTCAGCCCTTGCTCTAGAAATTCCTCTATCTCTTCTAGCCAAGGGCTATGCTGCTTTCTAATTATTCACCAATAAGGGGAAAAACAGTGAATTTTTATCTCTTGGAGATAAACAGGACAGGAAAAAGCCACAGAAGGAGCTGCAATCCATCACCCTGACAAAGACACAGCACAATCACACTAGGAGAACAACGTGGCACAGGAGTGGCCCAGACCCAGTTCCTTTTTCTGCCACCACAGCACTAACTTCTTTAAGAAGATCGACATCAGAGTGTGGGAGAACCCTCCAGTGACCACGGTGTGCTGAGGTCAGAAGCTTTTTCAGGAAGCAGACTCCCAGTATATAGAGGAAAGATCCCTTAACAAAAGGATGTTTTCAGATATAACCTTTCAGAATAGTTTCCTCAGTTTTCCAGCCAGCTGATGGTGTTTCTTCCAGCTCAGAGGAAAGAGTTTCCGCTTTATCAGTCCTTCCTGTCGTCTTCCGCCCCATAACCCCTGACACCGAGGTGACATTCACGTCAAACCCAAAGGTGTGCAAGTCAGTGGAAACTCTGCCTGGAGCACAAACAGCTCCATCACTCTCAGCCTCTACAGGGGGCATTCACAAGTTGCATTATCCTCTACATCTGCTGCCACGATTCGAGCAGTTTTCAGCTGAATTAAGACAGGTCCAAAAGGTGTGGACTTATTTTGGCTTAAAATGGGAAAATAGATGCGTGGACAGACAAACACCACAGACTTCTGCTAGAAACACTGGGAAGCCCAAATCAGTCAGTCCTGTCTGGAATAAGCCTGGTCCATAGGGCAAGACTGCAATCAGTGTGACATCCCTTGTGTCTGAGCTGCTGAAACGCTCAGATCATCTTTTAGGAGAACACAGTTTTCTTCACAGAAGACCAAGCAAGACACCAGCCCAAGAGACGAAAAGAACATGAGATTTGGTCTCCAGTTCTGGGCTGGAGCAAGGAGGTCTCTTTTAAATGCAACTAAACATAACTGAGCAAAAAGGAAGTAGGTTAGAACATGGCCTGAATAAGAGCCCAGGTTAACTCCACCATGGAAACATGCCTCCAGGCTTCCTTTAATTCTGCATTTTCAAACACTGTGGAAGCCTTGAGGATGGACACTGCGGGAGGCACAGACTGATGGATTTACTATGTCTCAGAGGCATGTCTCTTCCTCCAGCTCTGCTGCTCTCCCTGGACAGGCAGCTCTGCAGAATGAATTATCTCCCCACAGCGTGAATTTAGTGAAAGAGAAACTGATGGCCCTAGAGATCATGCCCTAATTAGCAATTAAAAAAAAACGGTGTGGGCAGCCACACTGCCCTGTCTCACATAGCACAGCAGTTCACAGGAGTGCAGTGCACCCTTCACAACCAGTTGCCTCCATGGTCTCAAAAAGGATATTGATGAGAAGAAATTCTTAAAGGGCTGTGCGTGACCTGAGCATCTGTTTATTAGAAACCAGCAGCAGTGACTCATTTTCAAACAAACATGATTTTGGGCACTGTGTGAGCTCAGCTTCTAAGCCAGCATTGTCTCTTGATCCAGCACAAGGCATAGAAGGGGGTGGCCCATTGTCTGTTCCATAGCAGAGGCAAGAAAATGAGGAGGAAACAAACCAAAACTAAGATTCCTGCTGGTCCATTTGGTTTTTGCCCCAGTGTCTCCTGTGCTTTGGCAGGCAGTGATTCCTGCTGTAGGTTTCTGCCTGCACTCACAAGGCAGTGAGGTGCCTGCCCCAGCCCCAGCTGGCTGCTGTGTTCTGGAGAACAGAACTGGAGTCTGTGTTTCTTTATTAGGGAGACACTGCCAGAAGCCAGAGAGTTCACATCTGACTCAGAACTTCCCCAAAGCTTGAGGACATGCAGATCATCTTCCCAACCCCCGTCTCAAATCCACATCCAGTGCAATCTGGATCCTGTCCCAGCAAGGGATTTTTTTGGGAACTCTCTTAACTCAGGCTTAAACTCAGAACTAATCTGCATCTCTCCAGATTGCTTCACTCAGCAGCCACTGGTTTCTAATGGGTGTCAAGCACTAACAGGAGACAAGGCCATCACCACTCTGCTACATTTGCCACATTTGCCCTTTCTGTGCTCTTACCTTTGAGTAGGTTTTTCCGCCCTTCAGCTCCTATAATGGGAGACAAAACAAACAGGAAAAGCTGCTATTATATCTGCTGGAGAAACAGGGGGAAAGACACTATTCAGTCCTGGAATCTGCTCTCAGGATTCAAAAATCTCTGCCTCTCAAGAGCTACCACGACCCCGGTTGCTCCCACACTCCATCAAGTACCCTTGCTGGACAGAGAGGCTCCATTCCAGCACATCCTGGCCCAAACAATCCTTTCCTTCCCACCACAGTCCCTGCAATTTTTCTTGCTGACAAAAAGCACCCAGTAAGCAACACCAGTGCACTGGTGGTACTACCTGCCAGGAGCAGAAGCTGGATGCTCACCTTACGGACAGATACTCGGCAGATGCAGGGGTCCAGGAGTCCTGTGGCGGGGTTGGCACTCATTTTACACACAAAGGTGAATTTCTTTTTCCAGCGGACACAGTTTTCCTGAACTTCCTCTCTGTGAGAATGAAAAAAAAAAAAAACAAACCAACAACAAAAACATTATTCAAATAAAAGTACAAAGCCAAATCAATCTTGACTATTAAGTATCTTTTTTTAATGACTGGCATATCCTGGCCTGTAAAGATCCTGCACAACATAGCTTGGTCCACACCACCCGAAACTGCGCCACACAAGGGTGTTACGTTACCATTAAGCTTTTTACTAGTCAATACAGGTAAAATCCACCTAGGTTACAGGCAGACTAATCATCTCATCAGCAGAATTTGCCTTTAAAACTCTCACAAGCTCTCTGACATTTCCTGCTTAGCCAGTTTAGCTCATTCACCGTCCGGCCTGGATGGAGCCAATCTCTGTAACCCAACTGGGCTGAAGGTTCACAAGCTTATCTCCCTCCAGCATGTCTGTTTGTACAGCCTCTGCGCAGTGAACGTGCTGTGTGTCCTGGATGGCTTGTCCTTCCCTGCCTCTCATGCTGGGAGGAAGCCAGTGAGGACAGCCAGCTCGAAGGAAGACAAAAACACGTGTGGAAATGCTCCTGGGTTCAGGCAGGCAGGGCCATGCCAAGCAAACATTGCGCTTCAAATCATGTGGGGGGGTTCAGATGTAAAGCAGTTTCTGCCAGAGAGGAGGTGGTTTTGCTTGCACAGTTTCTGAGCAGCCTATCCTAAGCTCCAGGGCGAGTGGAAAAGCACATGGCTCCTGCCTGAGCCCGCAGGAGGAAGAGAAGATGCCTTCCCGAGCACAGGAATCACTTCAAGTATAGCTCTGGCTGCTGCAGAGCCCTCAGGGGAAGCTGGATTTCACCCTTCAAAAGGAGCCTGGAAACAAGGCGTGTGGGTCCTCCTACAGAGCTCTGGTTTGCCCACTGAGCCTCTGCAGGACCTGATCCATTTACGGTTCGGAGCTTGGCCCTCAGCCAGGTCAGTTCTCAGAGTAATGAGGCTGGGGGGGAGGAAGGGAAGGCACTGCTGACAGCTGCGAGCAAGCGAGTTTGCATCTCGCTCTTATCTCTCCTCCTAGCACAGGACTAAGGGGCAAGGGCACTCGATAAACTGTTTGCTTTAGCAGGGAGAGGGAGGCTTCCCACCAGCTGACCCGGGCACGGTGCAGGCCAAAGGGATTGGTGGCAAAGGGGAGAACAATCAGCCTTGGCAGAGCCTCAGATCTCCTCCTGGGAAGGAAGGGGCAGAAGCTCTAGCCCAAGCAGCCCTTCTGCAACCTCGAGCTGAGCCCAACAGGACAAAGCCAGGGACTGGATCCTAAGCCAGAAGGTCCCTGATGGTTCTCTGAGACATTGTGGTACTGAATCTGCTGGCCAAGACACAGAGAACAGAAAAGGAGTCACTGACAAATAACTGAAACCTGTAATCCTCTGTAATGCAGATAAAGGCTGATCATCCCTGTTTAAAGCAAGAGAAAACAGAAGGCAGCAATTCTTTCAAGGCAGAGAACTTAAACCCCTTCCAGACAGAACTCAGGCTTGTTATTGAAGTCAGTGAAAAGTGAGACATCTAAGTGCCAAAAATACCTTTGAATCTGGGATTAATTCAAGATGAGATCTGGTTCTCATTGCTCCACTCAACTCACTCCAGCTCTTTCAGACAGGAGAAGAAACAATTCCAGAGGGAATAAAAAGGTTTTGCCTATAATA